TGTTTGTGGGTGGCTCGGGAACCCCCGCCACGCCCCAGCTGCTCTGCCCAGGCATCCCCGATTCAGCTGCTGCTGAAACTGACCAGCAGAGGCTGAATCAGGGCTGCCTGGGGCAGAGCCGGACTATCGTAAGGGGGGGCCCCTCCCACCCCACTCCAGACCCCTCATAGCCCCCCCTTCTGAATGTCGGGCATATCTGATAATCCGGCACCCTCTGGCTCCTAAAGGTGCCGGATTATCGGAAGTTTACTGTACTCCCGATTCAGCTGCTGCTGAAACTGACCAGCAGAGGCTGAATCAGGGCTGCCTGGGGCAGAGCCGGACTATCGTAAGGGGGGGCCCCTCCCACCCCACTCCAGACCCCTCATAGCCCCCCCTTCTGAATGTCGGGCATATCTGATAATCCGGCACCCTCTGGCTCCTAAAGGTGCCGGATTATCGGAAGTTTACTGTACTTACCTAACTAATCTATGCGAGTACGTACTTGTCTAACCTTGGCATAAGGGTGGGAGTAGTCTGCGGTGTTGCTGGATGTCTGATAATTCTCTGATTCTTTAATAAAACATATCTCCAAAAACTTTGTAATTTTGTATCTGTACATTAAATCTTGATTTCGGCCAAAGTGAAAATAACTGTGACATAATACATAAAGTGGTAAAGTGGATGTCAATATCAATTGTTATACAATCTGAAACTTTTTGGCACCTTTAAGACTTTCTTGCTAAAATATCATTCATTTTGGATTGAAAATGAAAAAAAAAAGTGAAGCTGTGGAGCAGTCAAGATTTTCTGTGCTCTGGCTCCGCTCCGGCTCCGGGCAAAAACCTGCAGCTCCACTGCTCCATGCTCCAGCTCCAAAGCCCTGATTTCAGCATCAAGTCTGTGTGGATGACTGAAACAATGCTCTGTGCTTAGTTTTGCATCTCCAAAAGTGTAGGGAGAGAGCCCTCTTTTGGCTTGACAGAATAATGCATGATTAGATGTTCACTGTACAACAAGGTTAATTTATTAGCACATATTATGGCCAACACTTTTATTTTTTCCATGAAATAGGCTTTAAAAAATGAAATGCTATACCACTATGTCATTTGTCCTGTTAATATTTTAGCACCTTAAACAGCCTACTGTCATAAAAGCAATTACCTGCTTTTACTAAACAGTAAATTACAGCAGAACCTCAGTTACGAACACCTGGGGAATGGAACTTGTTTGTAACTCTGATCAAAACAGTGTGGTGGTTCTTTCAAAATTTTACAACTGAACATTGATTTAAACAACTTTGAAATTTTAATATACAGAAGAATAAATCTGCTTTTAGCCATTATAATTTAAATGAAATAAGCACAGAAAAAATCTTTACTTTGCCAAATCTTTTTTAACTTCCCTTTTATAGTAATTTAAATTTAATACTCTACTGTATTTAGAGGTGGGTTTTGTTTGGGGGGGGGTCTCTGCTGATTTCTTATTGAGTACTTCTGTTCCAAATGAGGTGTGTGATTAACTGGTCAGTTCATAGTACCGGTTTTCTACTGTAACCTGCTGAAACAGTATTTAAAGTGGCCATGAACCAACATACCACATATTACTCACTTAGGAAGAAACACATCCGGTTCACACATACAGAATGGGAGGTCACTGTCTAGGAAGGAGTACTGCTGAAAGCGAGTTAGGGGTCATAGTGGTCAACAAGTTAAACATGAGCCAATACTATGACACTTGCAAAAAAAGCAAACATGATTCTGGGATGCATTAATAGGAGTGTTGTGAGCAAGACACAAGAAGTCATTCTTCCGCTCTACTCTGTGCTAATTAGGCCTCAATTGGAGTATTATGGCCAGTTCTGGGCCCCGCATTCCAAGAAAAATGTGGAGAAATTGGAGAAGGTCCGGAGAAGAGCAACAAAAATGATTAAAGGTCTATAAAACATGACCTATAAGGGAAGACTGAAAGAACTGGGCTTGTTTAGTTTTGGAAAAAGAAGACTGAGAAGGGACATGATAGTGGTTTTCAAGTATCTAAAAGGGTGTTATAAAGAGGAGGGAGAAAAATTGTTCTCCTTGGTCACGGAGGATAGGACAAGAAGCAATGGGCTTAAATTGCAGCATGGGAGGTTTAAGTTGGACATTATGAAAAACTTTTTAATGGTCAGGGCAGTTAAACACTGGAATAAATTGCCCAGGGAGGGTTGTGGAATCTCCATCACTGGAGATACTTAAGAGAGGGTTAGACAGACACCTGTTAGGGATGATCTAGACAGTGCTTGGTCCTGCTATGAGGGCAGGGGTCTGGACTCAGTGACCTCTCGAGGGCCCTTCCAGTTCTGGTGTTCTATGATAATTATCCTTGTGGTCAACTAAGCATCAAACTCAGGATACTTGGTAAACTTTATAACATTAAGAAAAATATACAGTATTATCAACTCCAAACCTCAACTGTTAAAAGGTGTCACCTCCTCTATTGTTGTAATTAATAATGCTTTCTGCAACAGACCACACTCATTTTGCTTTCAGAGCAGTATGGCTAGTGATATTACATTGCTAACAGGGACATAGCAGTAAGCTAGTTACTTCTATTTTCCATTTATTAAATTAATTTAGAGCTTTTGTCTCTGATTTTTATGTCTCTAATTATTCATAATTGAGAAAGCACTTATGAGTGCTGTTCTTGATGCCTTGTGATTGGTCATCTGAGTCATGTGAGTTGTTTCTGTTCCCTGATTGAATGACCCAATCTTTGTAGACTGTCGCTATTTTGTTTTTTAATCACTGATACATATTCATAATTCTTCAAATGTATTATGTGAAAAATGAAAAGAAATTTTCAAAATCACATTGAAAGTGCTTTCATGGATATTACTTTAGTGCATTTGCACTATTTTTCACTGTGCTTGTATTTCATAGATCAAATTTACTTCTGTGCCATGGATCAGCAGAAGGCCTATGAGCTACTCAGTCCCACGGAGGTTATTAGGCAGTTGGAGGCACTTAGCACCTGAGGCTATGTCTAGACTATGGGGTTTTATGGGAAAAAGGTATGAAAATTGCGTTCCACCTTGTGATTGGTCATCTGAGTCATGTGACATTTTCTGCTCCCTGATTGAATGACCGGGATACTGCCCCATAGTCTAGATATAGCCTTAAACAGGAAGAAAGGTCAAGTTATTAGCCTAGGATTTGGAGACCCTGGTTCAGTTCCCCACTCTGCCATCAACATCCTGTGTGACCTTTGGCAAGTCGCTTAGCCTTAAGTCAGATCTGCAGTACAGACCTATGTCAGTATAATGACGTTTTTCAGGTGTGTGACGTAACTATTTCCTCTCAGAGAAGTGGATTAACTACACTGATGGGAGAGATCTCCCCCATTGGTGAAGGAGCATCTTCAGTTAAACACTGATCCCCAAGTGTAGACCTGCCCTCAGTTTCCCATCTGTAAAATGGAGATAATAATGCTTCCTTCCCATGTAAGGTTGTAAGGATAGATACATTAAAATGTTATGAAGTATTTAGATACTATGGTGATGAGGACCGTATGAATAACTTTAGACAGATAGGCCCAGTATCTGGGGAGTAGATAAAATTACATCTCTGTATTTGAGAGGTTGTTCACATTCAGTCTGTAAGTACAGGGATTGGTCTGGTTTTGTCCAATATTTTTATAAATAATTTAGATAATGGTATAGAGCATACACTTATAAAGCTTGCAGATGATGTCAAGGTGAGAGGGATTGCAAGTGGTTTGGACAATAGGATTAATATTCAAAATCATCTAGGCAAACTAGTAAAATGGTCAAAAATAAATAGGCTGAAATGCAATAAGGACATATGCAAAGTACTTTGCTTATGAAGAAACAATCAATTGCACATGTACAAAATAAGAAATGAATACCCAGGAAGGAGTATAGTGGAAAGGGAACTGGGAGTTATGATAGATTGCAAGCTAAATGGGTGTCAACAGTGCCACTGTTGCAAAAAAAGCAAACATATTCTGGGATGTGCAGGAGAGTTGTAAGCAAGACATGAAAAGTAGTTTTTCCATGCTACTTTGTGCTGATAAGATCTCTCTCAGATGGGTTATTGTGTCCTGTTTGGGGTGCCACATTTATGAAAGAATGTGAACAAATTGGAGAAAGTCCAGCAGAGAGCAACAGAAGTGATCAAAGTTCTTGAAAACATGGCCACTGAGGAAAGATTGAAAAAATTGGGTTTAATGTGGAGAGAAGACTTCGAGGGGACATAACAGTTTTCAGGTATATAAAAGGTCATTACAAGGAGGAGGGAGAAAAATTTCTACCTCTGAGGATAGAACAAGAAGAAATGGACTTAAATATCACCTAGGGTGGTTTAGGTTTGACATTAGGAAAAGCTTCCTCTCAGGATGGTTAAGCACTGCCTAGGGAACTTGTGGAATCTGTTTCATTGGAGGTTTTTTTAAGAACAGGTGAGACAGTCTTCTGCCAGCAATTATTTGATTATTACACACAGGGTCAACTTGTGGGGGGAGGGCACGACGGGTCATGTGACCTCAAATGCTGTGGATGGGAGAGGCCAGCTGGAGGCAGGACTAGCAGTGGGGCAGGGAAAGGAAGTGGCGCCTGCAGCAGAGGTCCACCTTCCACCCCTTACTCTCACCGGCAATGGGGGGGACAGTGGAGCAAGGTGGCCCTGCTGCTTTACTCTCTCAGCCACACGTCTCTAGGGGACGAGTGGAACTTCTGTGGGAAGCAGAGCGATGCAGTGGCTGGAGGAGCAAAACAGCGGGGCCACCTTGCTCCGCTTCCTTCACTGTTGCCGTTGAGTGCAGGGAAGGGGATAGACTCCTTCTGCCGGTTCTGGTTCTGCTAGTTCCCCAAGCCACCTAGGTTTGGCAGCAGCAGAGCCAGGGTGGAGTAAGAGTGGGGAGGAAACAAAGCAGGGTCTGGGGAAGGTGAGGTCTGGGTGGAGGGAGAGTCCCAGCCCTTCCCTGGTCTGGGAGGGAGTGTTATGGCCAGTGGCCCCCCAGGTTGTTGCTCACCAGTCGCCTCTGATTATAGTCCTTCCCTGAGTGCCAGGGACTTACCTGTATGAGCTCTTGAGGTCCCCTGCATTATTATACTTCTATGATTCTATGACTAACATATTCAGTCTTGCCAAACTATCTGGTTTAGATGGGATTTAAATGGTACTTGGAACTTGTGGTAGCCTGTTGCATAGGGATTATTTCACCCATGGTGATTTACAGCAACAGAAGCTTTTATAAATGTAGTCTGGCCCCTGAAAGCTCTTTAATTCTGAAAAGTGTTATCTAAGTGCTAATCACTGTTCTTGCTACGTAATGACCTTTACACTTTTTTCTTGCTTCATAGATAGACACGAAACAACTGGTGCAAAGCTCTTGAAATCTTATCAAAAACTGAGGTAAGACTTGTAGAAGGACAAGTTGTTCTAGGGCACTGAGACGGCAATATAAGGAACACATTTTATAATAGATAACAGCTTGCTGCTTAAGTTTTCTGATTACCAAGACAGCAAATATCAAGATTTTTAAAAGTTTAGAATGCAATTAGTAGTACTGTAGAAAGATTGCCGTTGGTTTTTTTTAATTCATTCTATAGAAAGAGGCTGGAGTACAGTGGAAAGAATCCTACTTTTAGCTAGACAGTTTCCTTGTCTAATTTATTGGGAATTAAAGAAAGCATACAATATTTTTCTAATGCTTTTCATATTGATAGGCTCTTTTTAAATTAGGCCTGGACAAAATACCTTCCGCAGACTGGATCTGGCCTGCCAAGCTACCGGATCTGGCCCATAGTTGCAGCCAGGAGCCTCAGGCAGACTCCATGCTTGCCCCACACACTGGCCCCCCCAACATTGCTCAGAAAAACAGCTGCCATAACCCTTTCTCTTTCTCAGCTTTAAGACTAGAGGACGGGGGAGTATGCTTCACATGCTGCTCCTGCCCCTAGCACAATCCCATTGGCCAATCTCTGGCCAATAGGAGCTGTCCGTCTGAAGAACAGGCAGTGTGCGAAGCACTGCTCCCCTCTCTCCTCAGGCTCTTATTCACTAACACACTTGGCTCCTACAGCCTGTACAGGGATGGGGCAGGCAGGGAAGCTGCCTGAGAAATGTGCTGGGCTGTTGGCTGGGAGTCATCCAACCTGCCTCTGGCACCCCAGACCTCCTCCCAACCCTCTGCCCCACCACTCCTGCCCCTCTATCCCACATAAGCCAAACTCTGTCCCCCATCCTGAACCCATAACCCTCCCAGATCCTGTACCCCAGTCCTCTAACCTAGGTCACAACCCAAATCCCTGCACCCCAATCCCCTGCCCCAGGTCACAGCCCCCTCCTGCCCTAGGTCACATCCCAACCCCCTGCACCCCAGTTCCCTACCCCACGTCACAACCCAACCCCCTGCACTGCAATCCCGTGCCCCAGGTCATAACCCAGACCTCTGCATCCCAGTCCAGTGTCCCAGATCACAAAAAACTTATTCCGAGACCCCACACCCCCTCCTGCACTCCAGTTCCTTACCCCAAGGCCCCTTCTGCACCCAACCTCCATCCCAGACTCCACACCTCATCCATTAATATCATGGAAGAATGTGTCCCTTGACCACTTTCCAAAATCTTGGAGTGGCTCCCATCAAAAATTATTGTCCACCCCTGGTTTAAATGGTCAGGGTTGAAAATCATTTCCAAGTAACAGAGTAGTATATAAACATGTAGTAACCTGACTGGAGATTTTGCCAATTGATATTTTTACAGTAAATATAAGACAGAAAGGTCAAGATGCAACAGTATGTACCAAATTTTAAGCATGTGAATAGTCTCATTGATTTCAAGCACCTTGCTGAATTGGGAGCTAAGCACTATAGTGTTGATATTAGTGCCAGCAATGTATGATGAATATTGGTTCAACTTAAGTTTATGCAGTGTGTATTCTGTTAAAGTAATCTCCCTTTAAAATGAGTAAATAAGAGTAGATACAAATCATAGAGCAAACTGAAGCTTTTTGGTAGGAGATAAGATGTAGTACCAGAGAACCTGTGGATAGCCAGCTATGGTGGAGATGACCAGAAACGTATTGAAATGAATATGTGTAGTTAGGACAGAGCAGAAACACAGAGGAAATATTGTGCATGCATTGTGGGTTTTGATTGTGTTTAGAGTGGAAGATCAAGGAGCAGATCATTGGTCCTGGACTTTATAGTGAATGAAGGGGCTGTGATAGAATAAAAGGGCTTTAAAAGCCCCAATTCTAACCAGGAGTGGCTCCCCCTAGCGCAGGAACCATGGAAAATAGCCATAAGTCTGATTTATAAGGATCTCCTCAAAATCATCAAGCTGCATGCATACTAGGGTTAGGAGGGCCATATCGGGGAGACACTATGCACTGGTGTCCATAGGGAAGCCTAAGGAGGCTTCAGTGATTTGAATAGGCCCTTAGGTCTGTCTAAATTATACTGGCTGGAGCAGTTTAGGATCCGGAAGGTGCAAAATCAATTTAGCCCCCATTCCTTAGGCTGTAAGTCCTTTTCTTAGTCTCTAAGAAGTGTAGCACAGACTCTTATCCCAGATCTTTAGGTTTCAGGAAAGAGGCAGCTCTTCTATGAAGAGAAGAAACATAGAGCTGTTACATGTTAGAGCCTTGTGAAAAATATATTAATAGTTTCTTTTCTCCTAATTTCCTAGTAAAATTTCTGTGGTTCCTCCTACTCCACCTCCTTTCACTGTATCCACTGGGGGAAACACCACAATGGTAATGTATATATGTACAGCTATCTAAGAGCTCTTTAATTGGAAACAACCAACCACAGAAGTGTAAAAAATAGCAACAGCTCATAATATTGTTTAGAAATTTGTTGCAATATAAATTATTATTTTATTTCTTTTGGCCAGGTCTACATTAAAGGCAAAGGTTGAATCAAGATACACACTCCAGCTATGGTAATTATGTAGCTAGAGTCAAAGTATCTTGTTTCAAGTTTCCCCCCACAGCAGGAAGCTGATAGGATCAAATGCTCCTTTCAGCTTCCCTTATTCCTTGCAGAAGCAGGAGTACCAGCTGCTGATGGGGGTGCCTTCACTAGACCCGATTAATTGAACTCCAGAAGATCGATTTCAGCAGCATCGATCTTTCGTTTATTGAAGACATAGCCTTGTCTTGTTCCTTTTTCAGAGGAGTTGGCAGCATGATACAGAATAGTGTATCTCTTAGGCCTGGTCTACACTAAAGGGGAAAGTCAACTTAAGATATGCAACTCCAGTTATGTTAATTACGTAGCTGGAGTTGAAGTGTCTTAAATCGCAATTTGGCACCATCCACACAGCGGGAGGTCAACAAGAGCACATGCTCCCTTTGACTTCCCATATTCTTCATGAGGAGCAGGACTTCTGGCATCAATGGGAGCACCCTCTCTGTTCAAATTAGCAGGTCTTCATCAGAAAATCGACCATAGCAGCATCCATCTTCTTTGTAGTGTATACAAGCCCTTAGAGACATATGAGATTAGTCACCAACATTTTAGTGCACATTATGTAGCCATTTGTAATGAAAATTTTGCAAGAATGGCATAATAATTTTGATCGTTATAATTTTATCACAGTTTCTAGCAGGTGGACTATTAGGATTAGATCCAAAATCCATTGAAATCAATTGCAAGACTACCATTGACTTCAGTGGCCTCCAGACTAGGCTGTGGTTCCCCAATTTAGCAGCCCTTCCCTGCTCAAGAAAGCATTTAAGCGTGTGTTTAATTTTATACACATGCTTAAATCCCATTGATTTTGATGAAAATTTTTGTCTAGCTCTACTTCCAATCCTTATAAGGATCCTTTGAATCTGAAGCACCAGAAGCATTAAAGTAGCTCTAAAATAAATACGACTTTCTTACCTTAACTTAAATGCAAACAATATTACACAGATTAATCACCTATGTCATTTGCTTATATTTATGAAATTAAAATGGAAATCGTCTACAGAGATTTCTGCTGGTAGATGTAAAACAATTCAGCTGAAAGAGCCACTCCTTCCCCCAGCTAGATACGTCAATGCTAATATTTACATGTAGTGAAAAAATATGTGCTTATAAATGCTACAGAAATGATAGCCCTGTGCAATCTTATGCTATTTTTGCTGTTTCTAAAGGTGTGTGACATGGGAAGCTTTGAAAACACAGCCTTTGATTTTATCTTTTAATTTTTTCCTTTCAATTGCAGGAAATCAGTCAATCTAGAAGTTTTAATAAGTCTGTGGAAAACTTGTTTCTGTCTCTTGCCACAAATATGAAAAGTAAGTGTCCTTCAGTGCTTTGCAATTTAAATGTGAGTCAGAGACTGGTTTCAAATAAAGGATCCATTAAGGACTGCTGCTAACTCCAAGCCAGCAAATAGTTACAAGGCATGTCTAATTGTCCATCAGCATTTGGTATGGAATATACCAATTTTCTATTGGGGTATCCACTTCCTCTCTCCAAGTGAACTTGTTACAGATTGCCCTTCTTTTTGTATCACTCTCAAAGGGAGGGATTAAATATTGTCTTTCTCTTTCCTTTCATGTTTTTAGAAAAATTCTCTTCCCTTTCTCCCTCAAAGCTTCCTGTCAGTGTATTTGTTTTTAAAGTTATCTTCTCTTATCAGAAAAAAACAACAAATGGTCTGGTAGCACTTTATAGACTAACAAAACATGTACCATCTACATGTTTTGTTAGTCTATAAAGTGCTGCAAGACCATTTGTTGTTTCTTTTTCTGTGAGGGTATGTCTACACTACCACCCTCGTTCGAACTAGGGTGGTAATGTAGGCAACCGGAGTTGCAAATGAAGCCCAGGAATATTTCCACTTTCTTCCAACTTTTGTATCCATTTTAATTGACTCCCCATTTTCCTAATTTCGCCTTTCGCACTTACATAAATAATCATAATGGGTCATGCATTTATGTAGTGACTTTAATCCCAACTCAAAGCAGCTTCCAAATAGATATCTAAATTGTATGTTGGGATCGTCCTCCTACCTGCTTCTGAAATGCATCCAATTCATCTCTGATAAAACTCTGTTTGATAGCATACAGTAAAACAAAAGAGTAGCTGAGGGCAAGGAGTGAAGAATATATTTTCTAGTTGGGACTGCAAGGGAAATTTAGGTAGGCGGAATGCAGTTAAACAAAATGAGACAGGTACTTGCTTTGCTATCTGTTTCTTTTTCTTAGGCGATGAATCTGTAATCTAAAAGATCTGAAAGACATAGGATTAGCTTAATAAATCTCCAGATTTGTTGACAATGTTCATTATAAATGTGCTCCTCTCTTCTTGTATTTATTTTAGAAATTTCAAAGTCCCAGAATGACATGAGGTCTGACAAAAGTCTCCTCACTACAGATTATGGGCAGGATGTGGAACGGAGGAAGGAAAGGAGGAGTCAGTCTGACACTGCCATCAACATTACAAGCAGAGTATGAAAATCATTATATTTAGTAGTTCTAGTTTCTGGGGCTGTTTTGTGATTGGGAAATTATTAGGGGACTGATGGTTGTTATGATGCAGTACTGGTTGTAGTAGAGTGATAAAAACTAGTTAGAGTTACTTTGGAAGGTTCACTGGAACTCCTCCTTTTGTAATTCTTTCAATAATTCTTATTTTCAGCTGAAATTTTCTAGCCTTCTCAGTTTAAAGCTAAAGACTAGTTTATTCAGTTTTCATGGAGCCACCTTGCTCCAACAGGGAATACCGGGAGTGCATGTGGCTCACAAGCTCTCCAGGGACTAGTTGGTGCACACTGTACCAGCCAGTGGGAAACACAGATTCCTCCCCAGTCCATCTGCTGGCCCTCCTACAGCCCCTAATGAATAAAAGGGACTGAGCTGTGGCCTTTCCATGCCATTCCTGTGATTTTCTGAGCAATATCTTGGAGAGAGAACATGTTGGCCATTGTGTGAACTATTTGGCAGCAAAATGCAAAGTCCAGTCTCCTGTTTTTTAGTTGTGAGAGAGTGAGACAGTTTGAAACAAGTAAAAACATTTAGTTTATCTGCTGTAAAAAGATGGGTAAGGGTTTGTTTTGTTCACATCTAGCTCTCAAATTGCTGAACTTTATAAGCTAAAACTTTCTAGGTAGCCCCAGTCTAGGGATCCCCAGCCAGGCCGGTAGCAGAGGGGCTGGAATCTTGGGATCCTCAGTGGTGGGGATCCCCAGAGGGGCTGGCAGCAGTGGGGCCGGAAACTGGGGATTCCCAGGTCCAGGAATCACCAGCAGGACTGGTGGCTGGGGATCCCCAGGACTGGGGCACCCTCAGGACCTGACCTGTCCCAAATGAGGGATTTTACCAGATCAGGAGAGATCCCTTTCACCAGTAGCAGGGAGGGGCAGCAGGCTGGGAGGCTGATGGTGAGAGGGATCTCTCCTGATCTGGTAAAATCCCTCGTTTGGGACAGGTCAGGTCCTGAGGGTGCTGGACCGGGGAGGTCCAACCTGTAGTTTAGAAAATCAAGCAACGTGTCTCTGTAGTGTTTTTTATAGGATGCATTGAAACTATATTATAAATATTATGAAAAATATGCATGAGTGCTCTAGAGTTTGAAATCTTCTAGTTATATGTTTGCCAAACAATATGCCTGGATTTTTAAATTGGCTATAAATGCTGAAGGTTTTAGAGTGTTATGCTGTGTCAGTACTTTGTTAGGGATATAGAAAAGTAAGATTTTTCTTGATTGTGTTGTCAAAGCTCTGCTTCTGGAGAACAAGAATTTCTAATGTCCTTATAACTAAAAACCCCAAACTTTTGCTGGAGTTTTGGCTGATCTTCTATTTTGGATAACATTACTACAATCTAGATTTTGCTTCTAGTTAAAGTTTTGCTCCCACCTTTCCCCCCACCATATCTTATGGCTCTTTGTGTTCATGCTATAATTTCTAAGTTTACTTTTAGTCTCTGTGAGAAATTGTTCCAAGCTTTTACTCTTTTGTAATGTTATCTCTAGTTCTATTTTTGTCGTCCTTTTGATCGTTCTAGGAGCAGTGGCCATCAGTTCTTGCCCTTCTCTGTGTAGCCTATTTGTTAACATTTATCAGATGCCTCATCTATTATTCCCTCTGTGGTTTCGTATTTTCTTGTTATCTTTTTAAATAAGATTACCACACCTCATCACAATGTTTGTGTTTTCTCTGCTAGAACTCTTGAAGTAATCTTACACTGCAGTTCTACAATGAAGAGTGACTATGTCAGAAAGGCCCCTTCTTACTCAATAGGTCTGATCCATATGTATGCTCAGTCAGAAGTCCTTGGCTTTGGTGACATAAAGCTGTAAACATTTATTTTTAATTAGTTTGTTCCAGTATCATTCCAGGTATCAAAGTTAGGCTGGCTGATGAAGACTGAGCCTCAGCCTTCTAGTTGTCATCAGTTGTTAGCTCCCCTTCTCCACTAAGTGGAGGATTTACACTGTCCTTCATCTTTATCTTGCTCATAATCTATTTAAATAACTTCTTGCCTTTTAGGTCCCTTAAAAACTGTAATTCATTTTGTGCCCCTGCCTTTCTGATTTTGTCTATACAGGCAGTCCCCGAGTTACGCGGATCCGACTTATGTCGGATCCGCACTTACGAACGGGGCTTTCTTGCCCTGGAGCTCGCAGGCAGCGGGACCGCCCAGAGCACAGCGGTCCCACCACCTCGACCTCCGGGGTGAGAAAAGCTGCTCCGGGTGCCCCTGGTCTCCTGAGGACCGTCTCCAGCAGACCAGGGAGATGTGGAGCAAAGCCCCGGGCCTGTGGGAGAGCAGGTGGGGTGCTGCCGGTTGGTCCCGCAGCACCGCTCCTTGGCGCTACTGGACCACCCCGGCAGCACCCCAGCTGCTCTGCCTCAGGAGTCCTGATTCAGCCGCTGCTAAAACTGACCAGCAGCGGCTGAATCTGGACGCCAGTTCTGACTTACATACAGATTCAAATTAAGAACCCCAGGCATCCCCAAGTCAGCTGCTGCTGAAACTGATCGGTTTCAACAGCGGCTGAATCTGGACGCCAGTTCTGACTTACATACAGATTCAAATTAAGAACCCCAGGCATCCCCAAGTCAGCTGCTGCTGAAACTGATCGGTTTCAACAGCGGCTGAATCTGGACGCCAGTTCTGACTTACATACAGATTCAAATTAAGAACCCCAGGCATCCCCAAGTCAGCTGCTGCTGAAACTGATCGGTTTCAACAGCGGCTGAATCTGGACGCCAGTTCTGACTTACATACAGATTCAAATTAAGAACCCCAGGCATCCCCAAGTCAGCTGCTGCTGAAACTGATCGGTTTCAACAGCGGCTGAATCTGGACGCCAGTTCTGACTTACATACAGATTCAAATTAAGAACCCCAGGCATCCCCAAGTCAGCTGCTGCTGAAACTGATCGGTTTCAACAGCGGCTGAATCTGGACGCCAGTTCTGACTTACATACAGATTCAAATTAAGAACCCCAGGCATCCCCAAGTCAGCTGCTGCTGAAACTGATCGGTTTCAACAGCGGCTGAATCTGGACGCCAGTTCTGACTTACATACAGATTCAACTTAAGAACAAACCTACAGTCCCTATCTTGTACGTAACCCGGGGACTGCCTGTATACTGTTTCGTATTTAGCATGATAGAGAAATATAATGGCTTGGATTGTGAGTAACTTGTTGTTCAGAATGAGGTCTGTTTTCAAATTAATTTCACCATTTCATCTTCATCAATGGCAATTTTTGTTGTTCTTTCTACTAATCATAATGAAATTCCCTTGGATTATTAAGGATATATTATCATCCCCTCCCGGCATACAAACAATTCTCATTAATGTTCTTGGCTCATTCAGGCAAGAATATTCTTACTAGTTCTTTAGTAGTATAAGTATACTCTCCTAGAGTGTTTCATCAAACAAATATTTATTCCAGAATGAGTTTTTCCTTCTTTCCTAATGGTGTTTTTTCCACAATGCCCTTAATGAAATGTATTTCACAGATTATTTCTTGGAAGAGCAGAGGTGGATGGATGGGAGATCCTGAGAAATCCTACTCACCTCTTCATTTTGATCACAGAGTCAGAATTTTCATGTGGGGAATGGAATTCAAAAGTGTGCTGCTTCAAACTCCTTCATTCTTGATTATAGCAAAGTTAAACTTAAATAAACATTGAATGTTCAGCCTTACTTTAACTGTGACTCTGGAGAAAGACTTGTCAGTCCATCCTTGTACCAACACTCCTTCAAGTTAAATTTATTCTTATCTGTCTTCACATAGGTCGAGACAGGCATATGCCATGCATGGTGAAACATACGATTTGTAATTTTCTGGAGGAAGTGTCCTTTTGGCAAATCAGGATTTTGGGCGGGGGCAAGAGGGTAGTAGAGTTGTCCTATTGAGTACTTTTATTAATACACTGCTACAGTAAATACTTTAATTATAGCTGCCACATTAGCTATCATCATATGGTGGGTAATGGCATGTCCACCACACAAGATTATGGGCATACTATGGATAGGGGGGAGCAGCAATGGATCAACTAGTTTGTGTATAAATTAAAATTTACTATAGACCTGTTCCTTGGTCAGTCTCCCAAAGAAGGCACACTCAAATATGAATTGTAATTATAGACAGATCTACTGGCAGGGGAGGGAGGGAGAAGGGAGCAGTTACCCCAGAGGGGCCTGGTGATATAAAAGGGCCCGGTGCACCTAGTTGCTGCTACTGTGGCAGTAGTGGATTTCTTTGTGGTGCTCTGGGCAGCACTAAGTGCTGCCTAGCCTCATCCTTGCCCCTTCTGTCTGAGGCCCCACCTCTTCCAGGGCCTGGAGCAGACCCTCCGCTCCCCCAGAGCCTTGCCCAGGGTCCTGGCCAGCCAGTTGGCCCTAGTGATTATAGACTGTACATTTATGTGGCAGAGCACAGTAGCGAGGAGACCAGAAACACCAAACACTTGACTTAACAAAACAAATGAATGGAAATTCAGTATACATCTCTTCCAGATAAGAAATGCACCAAGCCTTCAGCGACTCATCAATGGGGCACGGGACGACAATGAAGTCTATACCAAAAGGAATTGCAAGCAGGGAGAGGACAGTCCAGACAGTCCCATGAGTGACACTGTATTCTGTGGTGGCAAAAAACATGTAAGTGTCAATGTGAGATGAAGCAGTATAAAATAGTGGTGTAAAATAGACTGACATGTAGGAGTTAAAAGCTTGTTCAGTATAGGGTGTGTCATGCTTCATGCTGACAAATAAGAAGGAAATTCTATTTTAGTTCAAATCAGAGAAGACTATCTGTCCTCGGCATGGTCCTATTCTAAATTTATTGCAGCATATACACAGCTGAATGAATGGCAGTCAGCTGAAACTTCAGGTTATTTAAAGTTCAGTTAATGTCCTGTCAGGTGTGCAAATTCAGCTGCCTCATTCTTTTCACTGAGGACAGAGGAGAGTTTGTAGAAGGGACAAAAATATTATAGTGCAGTGGAGATCGTAGTCGTTGGGGATGGAAAATCCTTTTAAAATAATTGATATTTTCTACAAAACATTGTTCCCTATCTAATGACATAACAGATACTTCTCTTGATGTTAGCTGGAAAGGGGGAAAAGAAAACTGATCAGAAGTGATCGCATCCAGGGTTTTAAAATCTGTTTGAGTAGCTGGTACAGTAACTGTATCTCACAGAGAATAATGTTTTTAGTATGTTACAAATGACTTGAGAGGAATTGTCAGGACAGAATGGGACAATGCAGTGTGTAGGCATTTCAGAGCTGAAGTTAAGGGAGGGAAATAAAATGGCTTAGGGCCAGATATAATTGAACCAGAGTTCTGCTTTTTAGTGACAATGAGATAATTTTACACCTGCTTTGCAGAGGTGTGAATAACTACACAAAGTGTAGGACAGTGGGCAGTCTGGCCCTTGGTGTTTGCCAGCAGTTCACAACACAGTTGTATCTGAGTCACCACAAATTTCCTTTTAATATAGGTAATAATTGTGATGCTGTTGGCAAAGTTGACTTTTGAATGGCAGTCACTATTGCTCTTACAGTGATCTGCCTATATTCTTCCTTTTCCTTTTAGAACATGATTGTTTTCTTTGAGGGATGAGACAAGGTTGGGGGAAAAAACAAATACAAACCACACTGATATCAAGCAGTGGTTTTCAAACTACAGGTCACCAAAAATGGTGGATGCTGAGTACCCACTGGCAGCCTCCCATCAACTCACTCACACACCGGCAAGCCCCACAGATCAGTGCTTTCCCTTCCTTCCCCATACTGCCCACGTGCTGCAATCAGGTGTTTCTTGGCATTCAGGAGGGTGGGGCACAGGGAGAAGCAAAGACATGGCATGTTTGGGGATGGGGCTGAACTGGGTGGGAAGAGGTGGGGCGAGGTTGGAGTGGGGGGCAGAAAGAGACAGGATTGGGGGGGCCTTGGATGAAGTTGTGGAGTGAGGGTAGAGCTAGAAGTCAAGCCTCCCTCCCCGGGAGTTTGGAAAGTTGACGCCTGTGCTCACATTAAAGCCTATATTAAAAATGAATGGTGAGGAGAAACCAAAACAGGCTCAATTAAATATATAGTTCAATACGTTGAAAGCTAGATTGGCCTTTGCTGTTATATGGCTGCACTGGAGCACAGAAGGGTGTAAAGGCTCCTTCTTCGCTGCACCTTCATGGCCTTCATAAGGGCTGACCACAGTTGCTTTCTGGCACTTGGGGTGCATGGAGAAAGGAGGATAAAGAGTGGGCAAGAAGGAGTGGAGCCATGGGTCCACACCCTCTATGCACTGATACCCATTACTGCATGGCTTTGCCAGGAAAGTCTGATATACCCTTTAAATATGCCACTGGGGAGCAGTAGGGAATATTTAATAAGTGACCCTCTTTCTTTCCTACACTTACTTCCTTGGAGCTCTTTCTAAGGTTGTGCACTCAGCACTGCCCCTTACTATGGGCTCCATACTACAATCACAGTCTAGCTGTACACTTTTAGATGTTTGGGACTTTTACCATTGACAGTCAATCCAGTATCCATATTATTCCTAGCCCCTGCTTTTTAAAAAATCATCTTTTGTGGTCACAGGCTAATTTTTGGGGGAAGACAACTTCCAGATAAAGAAATAGTCTCATACACTGAGTGCCTGTGGCATAGTTGTGCTCCGTTATGTATCAAAGACAGAGGAAGACATTGCCCTTACCTCATGGAGTTTACTATATAAAGATAGTTAATTCCATATAGAGAAAAGAAGAACTAGTAGAATTTCAATAATAGTTATGATTTAAGGCCTAGTATGGGTAGTGAAGAAATAGCTTTATGCACATATTATTTTAGTCCTGAGTTGTTGTGGCTTTAGCAGTCAGTTTGCTAGAAAGCCATTGAGCTTTGAAGGTGAAACTATCTTATTGGATTTGAGTTCGCTTTTTTTTTTTCATTCTTATCTTTTTTTAGGATAGTTTATATAGCATTAACAGCACTTGTACCGAGGCTGGCAATTTTGACATGGCTCATGTCACAGGAGAAATAGAGTTTGCCATGAGATATATCTTTAAAACCTACATTTTAGAAGTATGCATCAAGGCTTGCAAGAACCTGGCTTATGGAGAAGAGAAGAAGAAAAAGTGTAACCCGTAAGTGTTTTGATGTCAAAAGAAAAAGCTAAAAACAAAATGTTAATTTTTCAAGATATATATGTGTGTGTGTGACTTGTCACTGTGTATGACACATATATCAACTTCTTAGATATCAGAAAATTAGCACTTCAGTTGTGCAAGTTATTTAACACATCTATGCTTGTCTTTGTCATCTATAAAATGAGAATACAAGTCTCTGCTTTTGAAATGCTATGAAATCTAATGATAATTGTAAAATACACTATAAATATATTACCTGTGCAAAAAGTACCCATTTCTGTGTATGAAAGGTGCCTGTGCATTTTTTGTTTGCAACATAGATGCTATTGTTTAACCCAGAGTGTCCTCTCTGTTCTTGTTTTGTTTATGAATAATTATCTCTGTCTTTTGGTGTCAGAAATCATTCATGAAAATTCAGCAGGCAGAATGTCTAGCTGCATGATTAGTGTTTGATGCTGCTATAATACATTGTTTGAGTGCAATTTGATCAGCTGGGTGCTGGGATTCCAGAATTACACTTAGGTTCTACCCACAAGAATTTGTCATTGAATCTCTTGCAGAGGAAGATCCTTAAAACTGAACTCTGATAAAAAGGATCCTTGTTAGAATGCCAGCTAATGTCATGGCACAGTTTGGAAATATTTAATAAGTAACTGAATACTCTTGGAGTTTCCTGATGGCATAGACAGCATACAAATAACAAAAAGCCTGAGAGGGTGGTGTGGGAAGTTCCATGTTGTAGTTAACATTACATTCTGTATTTGGTGTACAGAATGCTGTCTCTCAGCCAGTAGGAAAAAGTACAGGCATTGTTTATATTCAGAACACTTGCCGCAAAAGTTGGCTGGGTGTAGGTATTGTTTCCAGCACTTGAGCTAGCAGCATATCAAAACTGTTCAGCTTTTTGGCTGGTTTGAGCTGTGGCTGTTTGGTTTGCATGAGTCCCTGTTGAAAAAGCTTTTAAAACACACACAATACAAAATGGCTTAGGAAGCACAGAAAAGCAGTGGAAGGACAACTAAAACTGATTTTCAGTTTCACCAGAATTTAACCCAGAAATTGGCTTGGCTTAGTTATATACTATTATAAATGAAATATAAAATACTGCATTTTAAAAGAATGTTCTTGTAGCATCTCACTCTCAGAGGCTTTGGAGGAAAGGCCAGTCCTCGCCTACAGACAACCCCCTAACCTCAAACAAATTTTTTCCAGTAACCATGCAGCACACCTCCATTATAATCATCCAGGAACCCCCCCACCCCTGCAATCAGCCCCGGTGCCAACTCTGCCCACACATCTACACTAGCGATTTCATCACTGGATCCAACCACATCAGCCACCAAATCAGAGGTTTATTTAACTGCACATCCACCTATGTGATCTTTTTGTTCCCATCAAATGCCAACAATGCCCCACTGCAATGTATATTGGCCAAACTGGACAGTCTCTACCAGAAAGAATTAATGGACTCAAATCAGATATCTGAAAAGGCAACACACAAAAACCTGTTGGAGAACACTTTAATCTGTCTGGACACTCGTTAATGGATCTCCAAGTCACTGTTTTGATTCAGGCCAATTCCACAAGCCAAATATACAGGGAAGGATTGGAACTTAACTTCATTTACAAGCTTAATTCTTATGCAAATGGTATGAAAAGGGACATGGGCTGGCTTGCACACTACCTTCCACATCCTAATGACTTAGCCAACCAACCAAACAATGGAGGTGCTGATTGTTTTTATCAGCCTCTTGTAACCATCTACCCACTGTCTCTCTTCTTTAATATTTTTTTCTCCTCCCCCCCCATCTTATTTATTCTTGGATCTGGACTTCTAGTACTCCAGGGATCTGAAGAAGTGGGTTGAACCCATGAAAGATCATACCATAACTAATGCTTTCAAGTAGGAATAAGGGATCTTCCGGAAAAGGGCTTATTTTCCAGAAAATCGCGTCTAGACTGACGCTTTCCTCCGGCAAAAACCCCGAGCCGGAAAAAAGCGGCAGCCATGTAAATGCAAATGCCGCGGGTGATATTTAAATCCCCCGCGGATTTGCAATTCCGGAAAAGGGGTGCAGTGTAGACACAGCCTACATGTTTTGTTAGTCTTTAAGGTGCTACTAGACTATTTGTTGTTTTTAAGTTTTTCTTGTAGCATTTGTTTTCTTTTCTGTAGGCCCTATGAGCAGATAATGGGCATCCATGATGCTTTTGATCACCTGTAGCTCTGGATCCCTGCTCCAGGGTGCAGGCCATCATCTGTCCATAGAATCCTCATAAAAAAGAATAATGCTTAATGTGTGAGTTATTTATGAGATTAGGGTCCTACCAAATTCACATTCCAGTTTGGTCAATTAACAGCTACAGGATTTAAAAAATTATCAGTTTGATAGTTTCAGGCTTTAGATATATTCATCTGAAATTTCAGAGTGTTTTAACCATGGGGTCCTGACTCAAAGGAGGGTTGCAAGGCTTTTGGTAGAAATGTTTTTGGTGGCTTTTGCTTCCACTGCTTTTGGTGGCGGTGCCACCTTCAGAGCTGGGCTGCCAGAGAGCAGCAGGCTGTGCAGACACGAGGGTTACATAGTATGGGAGATGTTCATTACTTATTGGGGCGGGGACAGACCCAGCCTTACAGGTGGTTAATTCCCAAGATCCTGTGGCCAAATGGGAACTGTCATCCCTCCACACCGTGGTCAGCCCAAGGCCCTATTAGCAGAAATTGAGATTGAGCTGTCATGGAAACTGACCTATCCTCTGACTCTTAGGCTACGTCAACACTGCAGGCTTCTTGCACAAGAACTGTTTTGCACAAGAGTTTCTGTGCAAAAATTCTTGTGCAAGAGCACGTCCACACTGCCATGTGCTTTTGCACAAGAGCGTCCATGGCAGTGTGGACGCTCTCTTGTGCAAAAAAGCTCTGATGGCCATTTTAGCCATAGGGGTTTCTTGCACAAGAAACTCCTGTTGCCTGTCCACACTACCTTCTTATGCAAGAGATCTTATTTCTCGTGGGGAGAGGAATAACTCCTGTGCAAGAAGCCCTCTTTTCTGATGCTTTACTGTAAAATTACTTGCGCAAGACTCATGTGCAGTGTAGATGCTCTGCAAGTTTTTGTGCAAGAATGGCTGTTCATGCGCAAAAAGCCTGCAGTATAGATGTAGCCAGCAAGATGATCAGGATAGGATTGAAGCACACCAGCTGGAAAGTATATGAGGAATATTGCAATGCATTTGTCCATTCTGTTGATAAATAGGAGATGCCAGTCTTCAGACAGTTTGAATTTGGCACCATTAACCAAGGGTACGTCTACTCAGCAGGGCTAAAGACAAATTAAGCTACGCAACTTGAGCTACATCAATTGTGTAGCTTAAGTCAAAATAGCTTAATTCAGCTTTTGGCACTGTCTACACAACAGGAAATCGAAAGAAGAGCACTCTTCCTTTGTCTTCCCTTGCTCCTCGTAAAATACAGGAATCAGAGTAAGAAGTCCTCTAGCTCACCATTATTTTGAAATAATGGCTTTCGGTGTAGACACTTTAGTTGTTATTTTGGAATAATGTCAGTTATTCCAAAATAACGCTGCAGTGTAGACATAGCCCAATACTGAATATACCCTGGAAAAATTAAGTGTGCGCCAACTATTAAAGAGTTCGGAACATACTGCTTTATTTCTAACCCTTTCTCAGTTTAAGCTGTCCTAAATTTTGCTTTCTCCCTCCTCATTCCTCTCTCTAATTGCAAGGTATGCAAAGACTTACTTGCTTCCCGATAAATCTTCTCGGAGTAAACGTAAGACAGCTGTTAAAAAGAACACAGTGGATCCAGCATTCCATGAAACTTTTAAGGTATGACTCGTAAACTTTTGTGATTTGTTGAAAAGATCTCTCACTTGCATAGCAAAGTCTCCACCTCTAGTGCGCCCACTCCCACACACATTTTGTGAGCGGAACTCCCATTGACTTTAAGAAAAACCTGTAAGTGCTTTTAGGGTTGGACCACACCCTGTAATCCATTAACTAATGATGGATGTCAATCAAAAATAAAAGCAACCTCGTGTACATTTCTGGAAAGCTCTATTAATTTGCAAGCTACCTGAAAAGGAGTATTTGATATTGTCGATAGCAAACATAATTGACTGAAGTCTGTTGCAGTTTTTGGGTAAAGAGATCTGAAGTGTGATAAAAGAAACTCTCATATCTTTTGATGGTTACATACAGAAATTGTGTGTATTACAAAAGAAAAATGGTACTGTTATCTGTTTGAGCTGACAGCTCTTTTGTGAATGTCAGAGGAAGTGCATGTTTGCAAATGCTACATGAATCATATAGTTATACAGTTAATTCCTATTGTGCTCAAAGGAGTGATAGATCCTATATGTTAGTTTCCTCCTTTTTTCCCCTACCCCAAATGATGTCTCATTCATCTGTGTTTGAAAGTGTTTATTTAAACCACATGAATAGTCATAGTAGAGAGTAAGAGTAGCTGTAATTGTTCATTTTCAAAGTACTTCATGAATCCTTGCTGTAAAACTTTGCAGTCTACAAGTGCTGTTACCCTGATTTGACTGAGGGGGAAGCTGAGTTTGAATGACTTGCTAAGGCTGCAGTGAGTTACAGACAGAATCTTGTTTAGAACTCAGCTGTTCTTACATTCCATCCTGCACTAAGGCCATTAGACCTCACCTTCTATGTGTAATTGAGAGACTGCAGTGACATGCAAGGTAGTAATTGCCCAGTGGAATCTAATGATGTCATTTGCATGAGAGGGGAAAGATTAAATCTCAGGCTTTTCAACTCTAAGAAAACTGTAACATTTGCCTTTCCCCTGAGTCCACAGAACCAGGAGACATGTGGAATGGGTGATGGTGGGGGAGGATCTCAAAAAGGCAGAGCAAAGTCCCAGTCTTGGATGCTGATATCCCAGATTTTGGTCAGGTTTGTAGAAGAACTCCTCCTCCTTTGTGCTTCTCCATAGTATGCCTCCTTTCATGGAAGTGTGGCATGACTAGTGACAGCTGTGCAGAAGGGAGTCACTAAGATGGCAGCAGGTATTAATGCTGCCTAAGGCTTTTCCTTCAGCTCAACCACAATTTTGGGGTATCTTTTCTATTCATGGCTTACCATGCCAGCTTCTCTGATATTTTGTAGAAGAGGGCAAAAATAGTTACATGGAGAGGAGAATTATCCAGCATAATTACTTCCCTTTCTGCATGGCTTTTCAGTGACTGTTTGCACAGATTTATTCCCCTCCACACTGCCAAGTGAGAGAAGTGAATGAAACACACGGGCCATTATTGTACAATTACAGAGACAAATAGGATAGGGTCTTGCTCAGTCTGCCATGGAGAATAACAGAGTGGAAATGGGAAATATTGTAAACGATGTGAAGGAGCCATGAGACAATATGTTATCTTTAAGACCTCCCTCCGGATACAAGACGCAGAAACCAGATTCTGGGTCTAACCCTGCAGCCGTTACTCAGCCAAAACTCCCACTGAAGCTGCCCACTAGGGCCATAAAGAAGCCTCATGACTACAACAGGTTCATGTGTATGTGAACACATTAGAGTATTTTTCAGAAGCCTGCTTCATTTAAACATGTGAATGGACAGTCCAGTCGTTCTTATTATAAGGAACAGCGTTAGAGCATTTTGGCACAATTAATTTCCAGGAAAGATTCAAGCTGTGTTACCACTGAGATTTGGCCTACTTCTAACACAGTGCCAAGGTGGCCAACAGAGTCATTATGGCTCTGGCAGCATATCAGCACTTCCGCTTTCCTAAACATGATTCAGTCCATAAATCCAAACAGCCCAGGTAATTTCCAAATTGTGGCCTCTGTTATGCTTTTGCTTCTTCAAGTTGTGTGCAGTCATGAGGGAGCTGTGGTTCCTACATCTTAAAAGGAGGCCATAAAACAGTGTTAGGACCCAAACTTAGATTTGATAACCTAAAAAGAGGGTGTTCACAGAACGTAATGGGCCTAAATCTCATTTATACTGGGGTCTCTTTGACTTGGAGCCATCGACCCACAGAAAAATCAGTCAGGGGAGGTACATAAGTGAAAGGAAAAACAAAACATCCCCCCACCCCACCTCTCACTGACTCAGCCAGAGGAAAAAAACACTTCTCACATATGCGGTCCCCAATTGAGAAGCAGAAAACAAAGACATTCACTTCACTACCCTCAAACTCTACCCCAGGACCTAGAGATAGTAGATTTTGTGAACCTTCCTAGGGATGTGGGGTCCGGGCAGGAGATAAGGTACAGGAGTGAGCTTGGGGTGTAGGGTCTGAGCAGGAAGTAAGGTACCCAAAGGAGGTGGGGGTCAGGGGTCTGGATGGGAAGGAAGATGCAAGAGCAGGGTGGGTATGCAGGGTCTGGAAGGGGGTGGAAAGGTGGAGGGTCAGGGCAGGAGGAGTCAGGGGACTCTGAGGGGTTGAAGGGAGGAGTACATGTGATTTCATGTGACTGCAAGCTGCAGGGAAGCACTCCCTCTCGGTGCCATCCCCTGCAGCTCCCATTGGCCATCATTCAGCCAATAGGAGTGATGGGAGGCGGCAGTGCCTACAGGGAGAACTTCCCTATAGTTCACAGAGCCCACTCCCTCTCCCCTGCCAGGCAGAGTCTGCAGGAGGGGATTCAGCCCTGTCTTGCTTGGATCAGGCCCCTGAGGCTCCCCTTTCCCACAGCAGAGAGCCGGTGCTGATGCTCCAGTCAAGATGCTTCCTGCAGAGTTGGAGTGCCAGTGCTGGCTCATGCCTCTGTGCGGGTGGGGATAAGGCAGCCAGATCAGGGCAAAGCTGCAGGCTATAGGTTCCCCACCTCTGCTTTATGTAGGTGCAATAGTGCCCAGGCGACATCGAGTAAATGAAGATTAAGCCCACTATGAAGAGAATTGGTTTTGTGCTTCTTAACAGAAATTCAGTTTTATAAGTTATATTTATATTTAAAAGTGAAAAAAATGCAAATCTGCACAGTGCTGCTAATCCAAGCATAATTGCATTATGCTAGTGCTGAAGAAATAAAAACTGACATTGATCTATCCAATACTGCTTTCTCAGCTGAGTAAGGTACAAAATGTAATCAAAGAATGAAGAGGGTGAAAAGCAATTTAAATTCTTAAATTCAGGTTATTAATCTAAGGTGTTAAGCAGCACTGATAATGACATAAGCTTTCCTGTTTTATTTTTGGAACATGAGTGAATATAGTGCTCTAGCAGGGAGGGACCATTACACTGGCTAAACCTAGCATAGTGTGGAGAGGCAATATTTAGCTTTCCCATTTTCTCCTCAGATAATGCTGCTCTATCTAGATCTCCATGCCATTCTTGGGCTTCCTTTGAGCAGAGACTGGCTATTATGTTGTGGTTGGGTATCAGTAATCCTGTACTGCTATTTTATCTTTTTTCTAGTATAAGATTGAATATTCCCAGCTGGAAACACGAAAGCTTCAGATATCTGTGTGGCACTCAGGCGCACTCAAGCGAAGGGTGTTTCTTGGCGAAGTGATTATTCCATTGGCATCGTGGAATTTTGAAGACAATTCAACACAGTCTTTCAATTGGTATCAACTTAAAGCGAAGGTAAGTCCGAGCTTGATTGTTGGAAAGATAGGATGTTCCAGATATAGATTAACAGTGAGAAGGGAAGTCGGTATAGGATGATCATAGATTTTTGTGTCTCTCTCTTTTCAGCCTGAAAAGCCCGAAGACAGCCTAGTTCAGTACAATGGAGAACTCCTGTTGTGTGCAAAACTGATCTTACCATCCCAGTCTAAAAAATGCCAGTATGAAGAGCAAAGGAACGGAGGTATAAAGAATTTCACCCATATATGCGTTATCCTTGCTATAAAAGCATGGAGGCAATGTTTGTGTGTGGGCATCTGGGTATAAACACTGCCAACATGGGAGTTTATTTCTGCTTGACTAAATAGTTCCTACATATTGTAGCATGTATTGAGTTGTGATTAAATAATTGATTAGAACCCTTGTAAGGTAAAACAAAAACGTGGTAAAATGATTTGAATTCTAGACTCGTCAGTCTCACATTTTCTCCTTTACACACCAACAAAAGCAAATAAAAATATAGTGCTTTAGTAAAGTGGCTTTTGCATAATGAACTCTGAGCTGTAGCAGGCCAGTTATTCCACTCAAGGACCCTTCTGGAGTTAGCCTATCAGCTTTGACTATGAGCTCTCTCCTTCACAGGAATTTTCTCCTTAACAGAGTTTTATGTTTGTTTAACTTTTTATTCTAACTGGGATTCCCTTTCTGGAAAGGGTGCATTCACTGATGAAGGAAGGAAGAACTGGAGAGGATTGATGACTGGGACATCTTCACATGTTTTAGCTCTCTGGGTAGTAGTAAGCATTGCAGAATAGAGTTCCATAGGTGCTACATTGACTGTTGTTAGCCTCCTACTGCAGATATCTTAGACACAGAGGCAGGATGGAATTAGTGGAAGGATCAAGTCAGTTACGTTTTATTTCTTCTGTTCCCTGGATCCCTATCTCTTTTTACTCCATCTCATTCAGCATTCCCATCTTGGTTCAGTCCTCCCTCTCCCTCATGCTACCTCTTCCCTTTCTTCACTCACCTATGTATGTGTTTTTCTCACGCATGTGTGCGTGCCGCACGCACACACATATCCCCCTTATGTTGTGGGTTGTGCCAAGTGCCCCTCCTCCTACTATTACTGCCTCAGAGTAATACCGTGGGGAGTACATTGTTCCCTTCTCATCTCTGCAGGTGCAGTTGGGGGCGTGGTCATGTTGAAGCTTTCTGGCCAAACCATTGGTCTTCCTCCTTCTCTTCCTCCATTTTTTAAAATCACACTCAGTAAAAATGTCTTCAAACCTTTCCTGTTGTCTAAAATCTCTCTGCAGTTTAGTAAGCACATGATACTTCCTCACTTCAGGGCAGCAGTGCTTAGTATCTTTTTCCTTCCTTTAGCCCAGTGTTAACTAGCCAACCATTTACCAACATGGAAACCATTGGTCTTCCTCCTTCTCTTCCTCCATTTTTTAAAATCACACTCAGTAAAAATGTCTTCAAACCTTTCCTGTTGTCTAAAATCTCTCTGCAGTTTAGTAAGCACATGATACTTCCTCACTTCAGGGCAGCAGTGCTTAGTATCTTTTTCCTTCCTTTAGCCCAGTGTTAACTAGCCAACCATTTACCAACATGGTCACGA